CTATTTCCACATCCACACCAACACCCTAAGTGAAACAAATGAATAAATAGCATAGAATTACTTTCATTGATGCGAGCGTGGGTCATTTATTATGGGGCACCCGTTATATCTAAAGATACCTGATAGATCCAATCATACACATCTTAGAAGAGAATTTCAAGCGCCATCTTTTGACATAAAAAGTGTTTTAGTCTAGTATAGAATACAGGAAAAGCTTTGAAGATACTAAGAGTACAATTACTTATAGAACATCCGTTACCTATACGTTAAATATCATCAAGAAGACTTCAAAATCACCCTAAATTTGAGTCATTTTATTTCTTTTGCATTGTTTTCACTTCCACATACTTTTCAGTATAACTAGTAGCATATTTTAGATCAGCCGACAATACCGCATTGCCGCATCTGGATACTTTTCTTGAGTTCTTACGTTATTCAAAAGATAAGAAACTTTACAGGCTATGAGAGTCGATTTTGTGATTTTCTGTGGATGAGGGCGAATAGATGATCCTAATTCACACTGATACCCACATTTTCACTCACATCCCACACCCTCATAGTCATACCCACAGGCATGAACACCCTCAAGTTTTTCAGTGTTGTGGATTAGAAGAGGCCGAAGAAGTGTTAGAAACTATTTGGTTTTGATTGACGAATGCTCGTTTATGAATCGATGTCAGAGTTATGAGAATTTAGGAAATTCAAAATTCGGAGAATTTCGACGAAACTATTTTAACTGCAGATCATTGGGAGTATCGAATTTTGGTGTTCATCATTTGGAGGCACTTGCCAAATTAGGTCTTGATAAGCCATCAGTCAATCAAATTCAAATTCATCCGTGGTACCAAAACAAAGACATTGTCAAGTACTGTCGGGAAAATGATATCACCGTCATAGGCTATTCTCCCTTGGCTAAAGCTAAGAAGATTGACGACAAAATTGTGGTAGATATCGCAAAAAAGTAAGTCGAATTTTCCTTACACTGAAAAGATATGCAGGGTAAGTCTTTTTCGCACCCGATACCATAATTGAGAAAGCTTTTCTAATCTTTAATCCAACCAGGAGCCGCAGAAGCGGGGGAGTGCGTGGGAGTGCGCACCCTCCAACAATTGAAAATTTTCAATCTTTTCCAGCGACAAGAGTAGATTTTTTGTACGTTTTGCGCTTACTTTGCGAAATTTTGTTGCAAATACCCCTTTACACCTCCAAAAGTCCTTACACTCCCAATCTTAAGACCTTTACGCGGCCCCTGAACCTAACCTACCTTACCCTGCAAAATTTTCACACTTCTCACTTTGACTCTAGCCTACCCTGTACAACATTTATCCCTACCTCGAGCTTCGAAGTTTCTATCTCACTATCCCTGATACTACTCAGATGGAACGCTTTAAAAATGATGGACAGCAAAATAGTATCGCGCTACACATGTGAAGCCTAAGTTTCTTTGTACTATGTACCCTGATTAAAAGAAATTTACTAATTCTTTCCCCACCACATATTAGAAAATCCCCATGTAACCATCAAACGCATTTTAGACGCAGCTAGATGCGTTTATGTTGCAAATCTTTGGCGTTCTGACGCGTTTTCGTATCGAAGCATGACTGAAACGCATCTAGATGCACCGATCACTGTGTTTCTTGAACGTGTTTAGAGAACCTTTATAGTTTCAGAACATTTTTTAGACTAAACACATACAAACGCTGTGCCAAGAGATATATTGATGTGATATGCTATCACTAGTATGTAACATCACCCTTACGTTATTTCACTCTTACTTCATATCATCCTTGTATGATGTCAACCTTGTATCTTTACGTAATACTGTTCATAGTCTTCAACACTTTTTCAATACCTTTGTAATCGCTGCGCTATTCATTGCATGTGTGTTCATTGTTCTCTTTTCACTCCAAGAGATTACCGCATCAAACAGATGCAAGGATAAATCGTTGAGAAGGAGAGAGAAGAGAAGAGAACAATCGAGAATATTCTCAATGGATATTGCGTAGTGTGA